GGGAGTAGTGGGAGGCAGGGTAGGTGGGAGGGGATTAGTGGGAGGCAGGGTAGGTGGGAGTGGGAGTAGTGGGGAGGCAGGGTAGGTGGGAGTGGGAGTAGTGGGAGGCAGGGTAGGTGGAGTGGGAGTAGTGGGAGGCAGGGTAGGTGGAGTGGGAGTAGTGGGAGGCAGGGTAGGTGGAGTGGGAGTAGTGGGGAGGCATGGTAGGTGGAGTGGGAGTAGAGAGAGGCAGAGTAGGTGGGAGTGAGAGTAGTGAGAGGCAGAGTAGGTGGGAGTGAGAGTAGTGAGAGGCAGAGTAGGTGGGAGTGGGAGTAGTGGGAGGCAGGGTAGGTGGAGTGGGAGTAGTGGGGAGGCAGGGTAGGTGGAGTGGGAGTAGTGGGAGGCAGGGTAGGTGGAGTGGGAGTAGTGGGAGGCAGAGTAGGTGGGGTGGGACCATATGGTCCCTGTGATACCAAGATATATCATGCCGATCTTGCGAATGATAGTGCTAATTCCCACCATTGGCCAGCTGATTGCTGTGCTTGCAGTGTGGACGTGCAACAGCGTGGTTGTGTGTGGCTTCACGGCCTCGTAGATGGGGAGTGTATTGAGAGGTGTACACGAGGGGGGGGGAGGTGTACACGAGGCGGGGCGGTGTACAAGGTGTACATGCTGTGGTACACATCTACAGTAACCCAAGCAGGCTACTCAACACCTGGACGTTGTTTAGTGACAGTAAGTTCTAATACACAACTTGATTTGTAGGTTTGATAGAGCCAAGTAGGCTCAGGAATCTGTACACCAGTTGATTGATGGTTGAGAGGCGGGACCAAAGAGCTAAAACTCAACCCCCCCCCCCCCCCGCAAGCACAACTAGGTGAGTACAACATGGCTCCCCCACCCAAGCAATAAATCATGTAAGAACTCTATGACCCCAATCAGGATTCGAACCTGCATTACCAGGGCTCACCCCTCTCCCCCTGGCAGTACCGTAACTACTTCTTCAGGCTGGTAAAGTGGTTATGGTTTTTGACACACTCTGTACTCCCCTTCATATAGTCTAGGGCAGCTAGTTCTTGACACACTCTGTACTCCCCTTCATATAGTCTAGGGCAGCTAGTTCTTGACACACACTGTACTCCCCTTCATATAGTCTAGGGCAGCTAGTTCTTGACACACTCTGTACTCCCCATCATATAGTCTAGGGCAGCTAGTTCTTGACACACACTGTACTCCCCTTCATATAGTCTAGGGCAGCTAGTTCTTGACACACTCTGTACTCCCCATCATATAGTCTAGGGCAGCTAGTTCTTGACACACACTGTACTCCCCTTCATATAGTCTAGGCCCTAGGGCTTAGAGACTTCATATAGACATTATATATAATTATTATTATATATATATAATTAATTATATATATATGTATATATATATATATATATATGTCGTACCTAATAGCCAGAACGCACTTCTCAGCCTACTATTCAAGGCCCGATTTGCCTAATAAGCCAAGTTTTCATGAATTAATGTTTTTTCGTCTACCTAACCTACCTAACCTAACCAAACCTAGCTTTTTTTGGCTACCTAACCTAACCTTACCTATAAATATAGGTTAGGTTAGGTTAGGTAGGGTTGGTTAGGTTCGGTCATATATCTACGTTAATTTTAACTCCAATAAAAAAAAATTGACCTCATACATAAAGAAAAGGGTTGCTTTATCATTTCATAAGAAAAAAATTATAGTAAATATATTAATTCAGGAAAACTTGGCTTATTAGGCAAATCGGGCCTTGAATAGTAGGCTGAGAAGTGAGTTCTGGCTACTAGGTACGACATATATATATATAATATATATATATATATATATATATATATATATATATATATATATATATATATATATATATATATATAATATTATATATATATCTATATGAAGTCTATTACATATATATATATATATATATATATATATATATATATATATATATATATATATATATAAGTCTATATATATATATATATATATATATATATATCTGGGCGTACACTCACCTGATATAGAAAACAAAACAATATATTATTAGTTCTCACACAACAGCTGTGAGATATCCAATATATCAACTTTACCATTAACGGGACACTTTTATCAGCAACAATAGAGGAGTGGAGCAGCACCTTTTCCCTGGCCGCCATCAATATGCGCAAACAAACATACAATTGTGTTAATTGCCGCGATCACTTATGGCGACATGCGCCGCAGTCCGCGTGCTGGCCTGCGCGGCCACTCATCGAGCATCCCCACGTGCTCTCCCACTCATTGAGCTTAAGGGGCCCCGGACAGAGCGTAACTTTCTTCTATTTGGGCGAGTTGATTAAAACGCATCCTAGTGCATATATGTGAGATATATAAGGTGTTATAAGGTGCGTGCGTGCATGCACGTGTGTTTGGGCACCAGTATCCCACGAGAAACCGATTGATTTTCCGGAGAGAGCCTTCCCCATGAAATTGCTAAAGTAAATTCCTGGAGCTGGCATCCTGGCACTGAGACTGATTGCCTGTGAGTACAGCTGTCTGAAGAATGGCCAGTCCATTTGCAGACACCGGAGAGGGAGCACGTACGCCTCTCTGCTCCGGCTTTTGGCAACTTTGTCCTACAATCTTGGGGGACTTGGTGTCTAGCGTCTGTTCTAGTGTATTCGTAGCGCCCATGAGTACATAGTGATACTGTGACTGTGGTTTTGAGAGTGCTTCGACGCGGTATAGAGCCCTGTGGTGCTTTAAAAAGTATATTATTATTTTTATTTATTTTCTTATCCTGGATTTGGAACTTGATTTCTTGAGACTTGGAGTGAACGAGTGTTTGTGTGAGACTTGCGTCCATTTGGGGGCACGCTAACTCGAGGATGATGTCTTCTCCAGTCGGCTTAAAGGATTATTAGTGTATATACCAACTGAGGAACAGCAAACATTTCGAACTGTTGTAAGGTAAGACATTTCCCATTAATTCCATTTTTTTTCGCCTTGATTAACATACACACATATTCACACGTGGTGTAGTGTAGGGTGTAGGGATGCTTGGCTTACACAGGCTGAAAGAGAGACACTTTTTAAAGACGGAAGTGTTTCAGGAACCAAGTGTCCACAGAATATAGTGTCACTTCCGTGGGTGTTGGGATGTAAACTCGGGTTTACCAGGAAGGTGTTTACCATCTACACTTGCCTGTGTACACTCCCAATGTTCGCCCAGTTTTGAACAAGTGAGTGAGATCATAAGGAATATCAACCCTCGTTTCAAAACACATGTTTCAATATTAAATATATCTTGATAATAATTACTGAGTCTAGCCTTTTCTAGCGATGCGTAGACCATTTCATCGTGGAAACTGTTTACTAAAGCATATTGATGAACATGCCATTCACATATTGACTTACGTTGCGTGAATTACCAGGATATGTGCACCGGTACATATCATGAAGTATTCTCCCATGTACTGGGATGAGGTACATGGCTATAGAGCAAATGTTGTCACTCACGATGAGGGAAGAAAACTACCCAATACGTTGACTCTAGTGGACATCAATGTAGCATAAACATTAACACTAGTAAATGACCACATTAAGCTAAACAATACAGAAGCAATGAGAGAAAATATATTAAAATACTCTAACAGTCGTCGGTGGCGTAATGTTTACATAGACAGATATATATATATATATATAGTAAATAAATAGATATAACTCTCCTGCCCAGCACACTAACCAATCTTCTTCACACGGGTGTTTCTCCAATTTATTTATTTTTTAGTGAACGATATTTTTCTGACCGAGAACAAATCCAAAGGGGGAGGAAATTAGATGCCGCATCAAGTCCGTTGCCACGTTACTGCAGACTGCCAAAATTTTCACACTATTTCACCGCTCTTCTCTTCGTTTGGGGTCAGAGGCACGGTTAGTACGGCGCGAGCGGGTGGAGGCAGACTCCAGCTGATTGGAATTAGGTGTGTGTTGGATGTTGATTAGGTTTGGTGTGCAGGGAGAGAGAGAGAGAGTGAGTGAGAGAGAGTAGAGAGAGCCACGAGGGATGGGAAGCCTCGCTCGTCACTACTAGCGATCACAATCCCCTTTCCCATCTCTCTCTCTCTCTCTCTCTTTCCCTCTCTCCCCATGAGAAGTAATGGAAACTCATCCATTGTGTTTCGTTTCCAATTTCAGTGGAAGGGAAGGTTCATTTTTGCCTTGCAATACAGCCCCCGTGGAAGACCATATCATGTGTGTGTGTGTATGTGTTGCAAAGGTGCCTTTTCCCCCCTTGCCTCGACCACCATGGTCTTAATGTCCAGGGTTCGACTCTCCTCCTTATTTAATAATCTCGATTATCGCATAGAAAATGCAAGTGCTAAAAAAATAGTGTTGTTCAAACCAATGTTTTTGTTTTAATTCAATTAACTACTGTCAGAAAGATATTATCTGGTGTGGTGGATAGCTTCAATCAAACAAGCTATATACTTGTTATCTTCAAACGATGAAGATAACAAATATATAGTTATCTTCATCCCTTATTCTCTCCTGTCCACCCTCTTGACCTGTCAAGAATAAGTCTGAAATACTTCTCAGTGGAAACATTAGCGTGTTAGGGATGAAGATGCTAGAGTCTGTCTGTTTTGATACAGGTGGGAATATGCTCACTCCGGGGCCACTGGCTCGCTCGCTCGCGCGCCCAGCCTGTAGCACGTGTGAAAAATGCGTTGAAGATTTTTTTTTTTGTATTATTATTTTACATTTTGCTTAAAAGAAGATGTTTACATTGGCCTTGCGAACGCGTTGTTTCTGTAACCTGTTGTTGTCAACGTCTTGTAAATGATTTACAGTAATTAATGTAAGCGTGTGATTTGTGTTTGTACAATATATCTGTGTGTGATTATATATATATATATATATATATATATATATATATATATATATATATATATATATATATATATATATATATATATATATATATATATATATATATTGTTCAAACGTTGTTGTAATGAGTGTTTTGTGTGTTTTAAGGCTCACGTTTGAGGGAATGTGCGCGCACTTGTATAAACTCTCACATGTATGCGCAAGTCCACCTGCGCGGATACCAATATACATGCGCATGTGTGCATGCATACCTGCGCGCGCTGAGTATATAGTCTTTGGAAGCAGAAATGAATTTGGCGTTACTCGGACTTAACATGAGGCGTGTGTGTGTGTGTGTGTGTGTCTGTGTACACCTGGCACTCTTCGGCACTCACACTCCAGAGTGATCAACAACACCCTCAGCACCGCAGTTTAACCACGAGTGCCTCGTTGGCACTCTGGTGGTAGTTTGGTGTCCAGGCGTAACTAACCGCGCTTCAGAGAGACTGAACAGGTAAGCTTTTCTTTTTCTAATATGTTTTGGAGTGTCTCAGTCCACCTTCCATGAGAAATATTTCTCCTAACTTCCTCTTTATCAATTTTTTGTCGTTTTAAACTTTTTTGAGCAACAGCGATTTATTTTATTATTGACGCTTACAATTCCTCTTTTGTTTAAGCTTTTTGCAGTAACGACGCGTTAGTTATTGAGGCTTCCATTATTGTGTGTTCACGGGTTTTGCGTTAGTTGAATCTGTGCGATCTTTTCGTTAGCTATAACAACGGAATGTCCACAGGTGTCAGACGTGCGTTGATGTGTTCGTTTTCGGGTGACTGACAAGCGTGACAGTTCGCTAACGAAGTGTAATATCCGTTCTCTTCAAGCTAATAGGAGACCTAGAGGTCTATTTGGCCTATTTTAGCCTATTTAGCCATCATGACCAACGTGAGAATAGAAGCTCATCCACCAGGAGTTATGTGTCCACCTACAAAGGTGCCATGTGACCCCCCCCTCCCCCCCCCTCCACAAAGGTGCTCTTTGACAAACATTTACAAAATATTTTTTTCACTCTACAGATTACTGGTCTTGCTTCATTTTGGGGGAGTGTAAAGTACCTATTCATCACTCTGACTCATATATGAATGTGTATAATTCTGTGAGGTGAAGCTCCTTGTGGGGGAGCCCCCCCCACTCCCCAACGTACTGGCCAACGCATGCGCAGAATGGGCGCTACTGATTGACTGGTTTCGTTAAGCATCTGAGTGGAAGGTTAGTTACCTGGGGGTCCCGCTGATTGTGGCTACCTGGGACGCAGCATTAGCAGCTCTCAGCACGACCCTTACTACCACCAGCACGACCTTCCACCAGCACGACTCTCCACCATCAGCACGACCTTCACCACTACCAGCACGACCCTCCACCACCACCCCATCTATCACCACACCACCAGCACCACCACCCATCTATCACCACCACCACCAGCATCACCAACCAGATCTGCAGAGGCAGCATCAGTTACCTGAGCCGTCATCTCAATGCTAATAAGATACTCGTGCAATCTTAGCCGTGGCAATCAGGACTGTTCTGCTAATGGGGTCTTAAGGGGCGGATACAAAGGGCGAGGGAGGGAAGCTGCAGTGAGGGACAGGGAAGCCCGTGGAAGAGGGAAGGAATGGAAGTATGGAATGGGTGTACTGGGGGTAGATTTCTTGACGAACTGTTGAGGAGACAACGGGAGCTATAACAGGTGGACAGAACTGTGTCCTGGGAGAAAGAGAGACAGAGAGAGAGACAGAGAATATAGAACAGTTTCAAACACGTGTAACACAAAGCGTGAGAGAGGTGGGATAGAGGGGACGGGGGTGAGAGAGAGGGCAATAAGAAATAGCTGGTCTTAAACCTGGAGTGAGAGAGGATGGACTCAACGCGGAGACGCTGGCACGGAATAAAAAAGAAGACATCAGGAAGGAGAAAGAGAAGGCTAGGAAGGAGGGCTAGAGGAGATGTGAGGATGTGGCCGAGTTGGGACGAGGAGCGGGGTTGGATAGGCTTACATAGGCCAAGCTACTTGACCAGGAAGCTAAGCTTTACCGTTAGGCATCACGATTTAGAACTCCATAGATTTAGAACTGCATAGATTTAGAACTGTTTTGTGTATTAAATCACTAAGGAGAAAATACGGGGGAATAAAGAGCCCATTAGGAAAGCAACGGCTAAAAATGGCATAACAGAACCAATTCAATCTCTTTATTATGCACCCCATACCCATCCCGTGGGCAGTGGTGGAACCGGTTACAGAGGCACATAATGGGTTCAGGAACTGAATCCCAGAGTTCATTTAGCTAAGCAAGTGACAATGTTTTGAAGCTAGTTACACAGTTGTCTCTGCCCATTGTTTCTCGCCGGCGCCTGGGATCGAACCCAGGACCACAGGATCACAAGTCCAGCGTGCTGTCCGCTCGGCCGACCGGCTCCCTTGCCCACACAGAACCGGAGGTGGGAACCGGTCCGAGGACGGTCAAGTGCTGATAACGGGATAATTAACGGTAATTAACGGTGGTACGTGGTTAGACTAACAGGGTGAAAAGCCATATAATTAAACGAGCTATTTTAAGGAGTAAATCCGGATAAAGATGGTGCGTGTAGGGGATTATAGTTGGCCAAGATGGAGAGGCAGTTTAGGTGTGTAACGAGCCAATCACTGTACAAGTAATTTCTACACGAATAATTTGTCATGTTTTATTCAATACTTTTACCCATTAACGAAAGCTTTAGCGGCTCGGTGACCAATTTTTACAACTGAATTAACTTTTGAATAACCAAACATTTCAATTAAAACATTAATATCGGATGTAACATTAAAATTACTACTCTTTTTTTCGGCAATTAATGACTGCAAGATAGCGAGCCGATCGGCCGGTCAGCTCACCAAACTCAACACATTTTTGTAAACCAACAGAAAAACTAACTCAAAGGCATAGGTAAACTCAAGGTTTTAGTAGTATACAATGCGTTTATTGGTTTTCCTCAGTCATTCGTGCCATTCTTTCGTGGGGAATTGTTAGTACACCTGGTTGGACCTTACACAACAAATACACAAACGTAACTACAACGTCATTAACGATTTAAAACGGTGCATTCCCTGGAAACACAAACCGAAACTGTCTCTATTTTCCGCTTGTTACAACTTGTAATAAAGTTGTTACATTTTGGCTTAAAGTATTTATGACGTATTAGAACGTTGTTACAACTTGCTATATTGGTTGTTATAACTGGTTAGGAGGTGTTAAAACTTGTTCGAACGTTGCACCAACGTCGTAGTTTCGGTGTGTGTTTGGCGGGTTGTAACATTATTTCAACGTTGCTAATCACTTTGCAACTGTTTTTAGAAGTTAGCACCCCGTTGCAACGTCGTTTTAACGGCACCACACAGTTTCTAACGTTAATATGACGCAGCAGCAACATTTCATCGCCGTTTTTCGTTATTTCAACTTTGCAACAATGCTTTAACGTCAGTGCAACGTTGAACCAACGTAAAAAAAGAACGTGGTGGACGGCTCATAAGCCAGGATGCACAGAGCACTTACGAGGTCACTTAAGAGTCCACTTAAGAATCCACTAATGGGATTTATACTCTTATCTCAATCAGGGCTGCTTAGGTCTGTATTTATTAAACAGTTTACGAGCTCCGAAATGCTACGAGGTCGTACGTTACAATAATAGCCTGGAGATGAAGGCGATTTCGTGGCGCTTCGGAACTATGCAATTGTTGACGATGAGTCACAATAACGTGGCTGAAGTATGTTGACCATTCCCAGGTCGATTGTGATTCACAATCGACTTGAGAATGGGTCAGGACGGACCGAAACGTCGTCGTCCCTTCACCTTCTAGTTGGTGGTTTGGTATACAAATATGCAATTGCTCTGTGAATTCTGGCCTCTTGTGAGAAACAATGGGCAGAGTTTCTTTCACCCTATGCCCCTGTTACCTAGCAGTAAAATAGGTACCTGGGTGTTAGTCAGCTGTCACGGGCTGCTTCCTGGGGGTGAAGGCCTGGTCGAGGACCGGGCCGCGGGGACACTAAAAGCCCCGAAATCATCTCAAGATAACCTCAAGATTGTGCAGAGTGATAGTTAAGACTAGGTAGTAATAGTGATGATTGTTGTTGGTAAGTCGCTAACTCGGGTTATGGGAAAAATTGACGAGTGAGTGTGTTAAGGTTAGGTTAGGTTAGGGTAGGTTAGGTTAGGGTAGGTTAGGTTAGGGTAGGTTAGGTTAGGGTAGGTTAGGTTAGGGTAGGTTAGGTTAGGGTAGGTTAGGTTAGGGTAGGTTAAAATTAAGGTTAGGTTAAGGTTAGGTAATATTGGAAGACATGAAGGGTGGTGCTGGTGTGGGCCGCTCCCTTTTTATATATATTGGCTCCCTATCTTGAGATGATTTCGGGGCTTTAGTGTCCTCGCGGCCCGGTCCTCGACCAGGCCTCCACCCCCAGGAAGCAGCCCGTGACAGCTGACTAACACCCAGGTACCTATTTACTGCTAGGTAACAGGGGCATAGGGTGAAAGAAACTCTGCCCATTGTTTCTCGCCGGCGCCTGGGATCGAACCCAGGACCACAGGATCACAAGTCCAGCGTGCTGTCCGCTCGGCCGACCGGCTCCCTTGCCCACACCACCACCAAGAATACTTAACTGATGAAGCGAATGAAATTTTATACTCCACAAATTAACATATGACCATAGTTCACCACCGTCTTGTATATATTAAAACCCGCCTCCACCATTATCTAATAGTTACCAAATAAAGTAACGAGTCAAAATAGTTTACCGAACTGTTTACAATGATTTAAATTACAACAACTGAAGATGTTTATTAAGAAATAGTTTATACATTTAATAATTTTAAACTTGAGCCGAAGGAGAATTAATAAAACTATGCCTATAGGCCTAAAATGTAGAGCTAGAGGTTCTATGGCTACAGGTGAGATGGGGCGGGTTCGTATCCCGCTGTGACAGCTCTGGGCTATCAGCACAGCTTACCGTGACGCCAGCTGTAGTTACACCATAATATACACAGCATACAAGATACAACATACATCGCTACATACAAAATACAGCGGTTCATACGTCTGGTGCTTGAACTTTCAACACACATGTTATCAAACAGCTGTTTACAGAGCAGCGAGCACACACGCACGCACACGCACACATGCACGCGCGCGCACATGCACATAGCTGACAGAAGGCAATATGGATTTAGGAAAAGAAGAAGCATGGAGTAGAAGCAACGGCCAAGAGGAATCCTGATCTTTTGATTTGCCAATCACTAAAAAAAATCCCACCTTATACCGAACCAGAAACGTACAGACCCAAACAACCCACTCAACCTATCGAGTCCGATGCATAGAAAACGGGAATATTTGCGAGTCGTTACATAATAGGTTGCCTTTGTAACGTTGAAAATAACATAAAACACGCGATGTATTATTTGAGAGCAGAGGGTTGAAGTGGAGTCCC